CGCCTCTCGCCTCTGCTGCCCGTGCCGCTGCCGCTCTGGCCGCCACTGGCCGGGCGAGCGAGCAGCCTGCGGGGGCAGGACGCTGCGGCGGCGGCGGCTGCGGCTCCAGCGCCGCTCGGCGGCGGCCAACAGCGACACCCGGAGGCGCCGCCGCAGCACTGCAGCCGCCTTTGGGCCGCGCTCAAAGGGGTCCGCATTTTCGCCGCGCTGGAGGCTGCACCGGCGCTGGGGTCTCTCCTCGATTTCAATCAGCAATCAAAGCGGCACCTGCTTAATGTGTTTCCTAAGACCTTTATAACTGAGATGCGCTGTCGGGTGGGTTTAGGTCATTATCACAGTTCATAGTGAGAATCAAATATCCATAAATATTCGTAGCAGAGATTAAAGGAAAGACATCAGCTACTCTTAATAAAACCAGGGCTAAAATAGAGGAGCAATAAATGATATTAGAAGGAAGACTTCAAGATCATTTGTGCACTGTGTGAGATCTCTTGAATTCTGCTGAATTCATTACCTGGGATGAATTAATCTGAAAAATGGATCAGCCTAAAGCAACTGAAAGGACATCTATGCTAAGGTAGCAGATTTATCAGTTACTATTTTCTTTGGGATTCTTGAAATGTCCTTCTTTTTATGTCCATACTTGAGGGGCTGACTATGGCAAAGCGCAAAGCCACAACGAGTCCTTCATAGATTCAAACAATGGTTTCAGTTCAAAGGGTTCTTTTAAAGTCCTTTAATCCCCAGCTCTGCCATGGGCAGGAACACTTTCCACTAGGCTAAACACTCAAAACTTCATCCAACATGCCCTTTAACTGTAGAAGTATCTGTAACTTCTCTTGGAAAAAAAAACCTTGTCTATACCCTGTCACTAAGGCCCTAAATAACAGGCTCTCTCCATCTTTTTGTTGAGCTTAAATAAATAATAATAAATGGAAAAGGGAAAAAAATCCACAAAAAGGCGTCTTTTCTCCATGTTTAAGGACCTGAACTCCTTCATCCCTTATTTATAGCAGAAGTGTTCCCACCTTCAGATCATTTTTGTGGTTCTTCTGCAGAAACCAGCAGCTCCATGTCTTTTTGGTGTCCCACAAAAAGAGCTAAGAGGGGATGAAGTACCCCTATTCTGTTAGCCTTATTACTCATTATACTTGGCAAGATACAACTTTAAGAGCAGCAAGTACACTTTACCAAATAGTTTTCCATTTTATTACTCACCAGTAACCCCATGTACTTCTCTGCAAGGCTGGTCTCAATTTCCCACTGGAGATTACCCTGAGGCAGGTCCAGGACCATTTCTTTGGTCTTGTTGAATTTCATGATGTTTGCACAGGCCCACTCCTCCAGCCTATCAAGGTCTCTCCAGTTGGCATCTCTGCCCTCTCCTGTTTACATCAATTCATCCTGACAGTAACAGAACTCAGGGACACCTTCACATCTCCTGCCTTTCACACCTGCTGTATCATGAACAAGAGGCACTAACACACGATGCATTGCTGAATGAAGCAATGCTGATAATCACAAGGAAACCTTCAGACATGTCAAACTAAGAAACAAAACCCAAAAATGAAAATCAGAGAAGCAAGGCAGGGAAGCATCAGGAGACAAGGAGTGATCAGAGAACCTCATTGGCAAGTCTTTGGGGTCTTCACTGGAACTCATCTCTGCAAGCACTTGGAAGTCACTGAGGTCTCCAGTTGCAAGTGCAGACCTAAAGTCTTACACCAGACTACCTACTTATGGGATTCATTTTAAGAAAGAGTCATCATTCCTCAGCAATTCTACTGTGTGGCCTGCTCACCTCCCACAAATATCAAGCACTTTGCCATGGGCCCCTTTCTAACCTCAACCTTCTGAGAAATTACAACAGATTCCCTTTTTCTTTTTCTTCCTGCTCCTCACACACAAAATTCTGCCCTGGGTGGCTGAAGGAAGTATTTGCTTCCAAACTACAGACACAGTTTCAAAAGTAGAAGCACTGACCAGAAATGTGTAAAAAGACCACGACCTTACAGGAAATAAATTCCTGAAAGAAAGTCTGATTGCAACTATGAAGAAACTCTACATCACTCTGTCCTGCAGAGATACAAATGGATAATCAAATTTTCACATAGGAAAGGTAATTAATTCTACACATCCATCGTGGTTCTACATGCAGAGTTTTTCAGGAAATGCTGTGTTGCTGGAGGACTCTCACTACCTTTCAGGACAGGGATACCAGGATCATATAAAACATGGCAGGGACCTCGGTCCCAGGCATGAAATCAAACCATTGCCCAGGATATTCTGGTTATAAGATTGCGAGGCACAGAGAGGCCCAGCTTTTCTCCTTGACATGAAGCAAACAAACAAATAAACCACAGCAAGGGTGAGAAACCATCAGAAGTGTGTGAACTATAGCTTCACCTTTCAGATTGTGTCAGCTGTAGTAGGAACACAAAGGAAACTGGTTGGTAGGAAGTACACAGAAGGCTCACACAGGAGTTTACAGAACAGACCCCAGACACACTCATGTCTTTAGCAGGGAAAAAACAAGCAATGGAACCACAGCTGTGGTCTCATCCAACAGCTGGGTCAAACTGGAACTTTACACTGTTCTTTCAGCCACTTCACACTGTAGCAGAGTGAACTCCTGCACCAGCCTTTTCTCTGGACAGACAGATCTCTTTCCCCCAACCCCAAACCACACAACAGGAAAGCTGAATCTGCAGACACACACCACTACAAGAAAAGTTGTATGAACAACTTCTTAGATCCCAAGCATCACAACAAAGATTATTTTGTTCATTCCAATAATTTGAATAACTTTGAAATGTTATACAGAACAAAAGCAATCAACAGCTCAGCTAAAACCCAGTCATCATAGTATTAGCTCAAAGGGAACATCACACATGGGCTCTTTGAAAGCTCTACCACTCATAGTGTAAGATGTGTTGAACCCAAAACTTGGCCATTTGAGCCCAAACCATGCAATATCAAAAAATAAGATTCCTTACTTCTTTTCTGATGCGAAAGTTCAAACCCTGGGAATCAACAAAACACCGGCCATGTCTCCACCACCACCTCCTCACACACAGCACACCCAACACTCTCCTCAAACTCTTCACATCTCACATGGTCATCAGAGATCTTCAAAATTGACAGGAAGACACACACATCCCCCCAAAAGAAACGTTGCTCAGACAACGTCTCCTTACTATGGATAATCTTTGTGTTCTCACTCTTTGCATGTGACAAGCAAGAGCATTTCTTACAGTGACATTTGAAAGAAACTTGTCTATGAAAGGCTTTTTCTT